CTATGTTTCAATCACTAATTTGCACTGGTTTATCCATTGAAATTTATAATAGCTCATGCTATTGACGGAAGTTGGTATTGTTATACAATATGTAGAAGTATGTTTTATAACTAGTACAGGAACTAATGTAAAAGTGATTGAATGTATTTGAACTTTGTAAATAAACCAGTATAAAATTTTAAAGTCAAAACCTGAAAGTTCTACATTAAAAAAAAAAAAAATCACACGAAATTATTGCTAATGTCTGATTTACGATTTCATCTAAAATTCATTTGTAACAGATGTCTGAAATACTTCAGCATTCCAAAATAAGGTGCTTCCAATGTTTCATAGAAGATACACTTGAAAAAACCAATAGTGTTAAAAAAACTCCAAACAAAACTTGGCAGCATGTCAGCTGGTACAAACTTCAATATGGATTAAATCTCAACATCATGGAAACAAAAATTCTTACCATTGAACTGATAGACAACATCGTGATAGTTGAGAAAAAATTAAAACTGTCAGTGACTTCATCTTACTTGCATCCTTTGGTACTAGCAGTCAGGAGATCAGGAAGTGAATTGCACTGGGAAAATCAGAGACATCTCCAAATTATTAAGGAGCACTGATATCAGATGGAAGACTAAGGTGTGCCTGATTCAGGACATGGTCTTTTCAGTCATTTGCTTCGCATCTGGATAAAGATGATAAGAATTAATGTCTTTGAGAGAAGAGTACTGAATCCCATGGATTGCCAAAAGAATAAACAGATATGTCTTAACGTAGAGCTAGAGTGCTCTTTTGAGGCAAAGATGACAAAGCTTCATTTTCTATACTTTGGGCAGGTTGTAAGGAGCATCTATTCCTTGGAGAGGGACTTTGCGCTTGAAAAAGAGAGTTGACGAAAAAGAGGAAGCCCTTCAACCAAATGGATTGACACAGTCACTGCTGCAATGGGCTCAAGTGTGTCAGAGATGATGAGACTAGTACAGGTTAGATCAAAGTTCAGATCTGTTGTTCATCGGATCACTGTGAATCGTACTTGACTCAACAGCACCTAACAACAGTCTGTGTGTATAAAGGTAGCCATTACTTTGGTAAGAGTTTTTTTTATTTTTCATTACAGTATTTTTTTTTCCAGTGGTATAACTGACAGGGCCTAAACCAGCACAGAGTGGGGGAACAGCCAAAATGGTTTGTGGGAGCTAGCCTTCTCAGGAGTTGATTAATAGATGATTGACTGGAGGTTGAAAGAAAATGTTGTATCTCAGAAATTCAGAGGCTTCTGACTTTTAGGTTGGTGAACAGAGATTTACTTTAGGGAATTGGAGAGTTAAAAAAGAGCTTGAGACATCAATGTGGAGCATAGGAGAAATTCTATTATCTAATAACTGAAGCCTAGAAGTACTTTATAACATTTGTTGTGTGCTGTCACATTGGAACTGACCCATAGCTGTTCCTCCAGCAGATTTTCAGAGACAGTAAATCACATGAAAGGAGCTTGCTGATCCTTCTCCTGTAGAACTGGATTCGAACCATGTGCCTTTCAGATTGCAGCATAGCTTCTTAGCACTGGGTCACCAAAGCTCCCTATATCACTTGACTGACCCATAGCTGACCCTCCAGTGGGTTTTCAGAGGCGGTAAACTGCATGGGAGTTGACTGCCAATCTTTCACCCACAGAGCAGCTAGTGGGTTTGAACCATGGGCCTTTGAGTTGTCAGTGCAACTCTTTTCCACTAGCCACCAAAGCTCCCTTCTAAACATAGAGTCTGCCTTTTTGACATAGATATATTTGCAGCTTTCATGTAATAAAGATTTCAGTATCAAGAAAACAAAAATCCTTACCATGTACTCAACAGGCACCATCATGATAGATGAAGAAAAGTTAGTCTTGTCAGTGATTTCCTTTTACTTGGATCCACAGTTAGCAACCATTGTAGCAGCAGTTAAGAAATCAAAAGACAAAGGGAAATCAGCTGGCAAGGATCTCTTGAAAGTGCTGAAGAGCAGGGATTTCAGTTTAAACACTAAGGTGCACCTGATCCAAGCCATGGTCTTTTCAGTTCTTTCTTGTATTTGTGAAGGTTGGAGTTGCACAATAAGGAATATATATCCACAAATGTGGAATATTCTGACAAATATGAAATAGAAAAGTAAACTTGATGTCTTTAAATTGTAATGTTGGCAAAAATTATTGAATATACTGTGGATTACCTAAAGAATAAATTGTGTACTTCTTAGAGGAAAGGATGGTGAAAGTTCATCACACGTACTCTCGACATGTTATCAGGAGGTACCACACCTAAGAAACTTTCTGAGAAAAGAAAAGGGTTAGTGAAAAAAATGAAACAGACCCTCTGTGGGCTGTATTGACAAAGTGACTTAAACAAATGGATAGAAATATGGCAGAGATCATGTCGATATACAAAATAGGGCTGGGATTTCATCTGTTGTCTTTTGAGTGACTCTGAGTCATGCTTGGGTTAAGGGCAACTAAGACACACGCACACACGAGGCAGAAAGATCAGCACTAGTGTAGATTATCAAGAAAGACTTTAGGATTTAGTCTTATCCGAAATGTTTGTTTTGGTGTTTTTTTTATATAATAGTTTATTAACAAAATTCGAATACATTGTATTTGAGAACAGATTCTTCTAATTTCCCTCACTTCCCCATCAAATTTTACTCCATGATTAATTACCACCACCACCACCCTGCACACTCTTTCCTCTCCTTGGATACATATAGTCATTCTACAATAAGGGTTTTATAGAATATTTGTCCTTGTGGGACTAAGTTCTCTCAATACAGTGTGAGATTTTTTTTAAAAAAACTAATATGTTTATGAAAATAATAAACTAAACAAAAATCCAAAACATTTCATTGAGCCTAAACATTTAGACTATTGATTTGGAGAGGAGTTTCAGTAAATGTATAGTGGATAAAGCTAGCTAGAAGTGAATGAGATTGTCATGCCAGTGGATGATTGGAAGTGGAGTTTTAAGATAGGAACCCTGGTGCCATGCTAGTTAAATAGCTGAGCTGCAATGAGAAAAGTTGGCATGTTAACCCACTAGCTCCTGTTTGTAAGGAGAGATGGAACAGTCTGCTTCTATAAAGATTTATAGCCTCGGTCGACCTGGGGGAGTTCTACTCATCTATAAGGTTATTGTAAGTCAGCCTCAACTGCACCACAATAGCTTTGGGGTTTGGTTTTGTTTTTATTAAAGGTAGTTTTGTTGGGGGTTTTTTGTTTATTTTTGTTTTGTTTGGGTTTGGTGTTTTGTTTTTTTTGTCTGTGCTTGAGAGAGAAGTAAACCTAGTCATTTGTTAAAGAGAATTCTGGGAGGGGTTTGGAGAGGAAGGCTGGGCAGGGAGAAGAGTGTAACAATGAATGAATGGAAATCCAAAATCTCTGTAAATGTTCATTAAAATTATTAAAATAAAAAAATTAATAAATAATTTAAAAATTCTGACTTTATATTAGCTATCACAGAAATGATCTGAAACGAAGAATGATGGCTTCAAGTGAAATCCTGGTTGCGTCTCACTGGTGTTTGTGTCTGTTCTTCTAGTTGTCTTGTCATTCATCACCTTAGGGTAATCAGTGGTTACTGTGCTCCTCATGTGTGGTGACAAGATTGCAGGCATTAATGTTTTAAAAAATCTGTTGGCCTAGTAGCAAGAAGCTGCGCTGCAATCCCAAAGGCACATGGTTCAAATCCACCAGCTGCTCCAGTGGAGAAGGATGGGCATTCTCTTCTTGCATGATTTCCTGCCTCCAGGAAACCTCTGGAAGTCAGCTATTGGTTGGTTCTGACTCAACAGTACACAATAACAATAACAACATATACTTAATAACCCATTTTCTATGTTACTTAATATTTATTTTCTCTGTGTCCTTGGTTATACACATTTTTTAAACTTCAGCTTTTTAATCTGTTGAATGGAAAATGTTGCCCATCTTTGAAGATTCTCAGGCTTTAGGATAACATAGAAACAACTAGTTTTAAACCTGCAATGCCTCTTAAATATTGAATGTTATGTTTTATTTTACTGCCTTCTCAGTTTAGTGATCATCCTAATTAAAAAGTAAAATTTTATAATTTTAACATTTATATTAGTAACATTTCTTTTAAGACTCAAAATCCATTGTGGAAAGCACAACCAAGATTAAACACAAGATTATTGCAGTAGTTCAAAACCGTGCACTAGAAAAAAAATTTCATCATCACTATTACAAAATAAAATGTGAATTTTATTAACTACAAAATAGTACTGTCTCAGTAACTAAGTATATGGAATGTTTTGAAAGTTTCAGTGAAATTTCCATGTTTTAAGTTAAATTGTCAGTAGACATTTGTTTTCTACCATTACCTGTGCTCTTTAGCATCAGCAAAGCTGCAGGCACCTTGTCCAGTTAACATGTTTCTTCTGGTTCGCTGGTTGTCATTTTCTGTGGGTCTTTGTGCTTCAGTTTCCTGACTTGCAAATATCTAAAGTATTGCTTATTTTATTAAAGGGCCCAGGACCCCCATCTAATTAATCATGTTATAATTATTCCATATAGCATCAGTAACAGAAGATGGTGTTGAGGTGCATAGTGGTATAGCTGCCACTCCTTTAAACTTCAAAATTCTCATAAATTAGCTTTATAAATTGGCAACATCTAATACCCAATAAATAACAAGGTAATTAAAACAATGGAAGTTACTTTTCTATCACTAAATCTCCTGCCTTTTACGTTTCAGACAGTGTTAAAACAGGTACTTGAAGATGACTCACAATATGGACTAAAAAGTGAGCTTTTCTGTGGTCTCTCGCAGAAGAAGGTGGTGGTTGAATTCAGGTGAGTGCGTGCCCATCCTACATATTAGTTAATCAGTTTGGCTAGGCAGGGATGGTTTTTAACCTTTTCAGATCTCAAAGAACTACACATGGAAGAGTTAGAAACCAATTAGGAGCTATTGTCCAGGGTCTGAATCGCGCGTGTGTGTGTGTTTGTGTGTGAGTGTGTGTGAGAGAGAGAGCGCGCGTGAGTGCGCTATATTTCTATATTTATCTGATTGTTAAGGCAAAAGAGTAAACCCCATCCTATTTATCCGTCTTGGCTAGTAGTGAAAACTACTTAAAGATTGAACCCTTTAGAAGGACGCTTTCCAAATGAACATCTTTGTAGTTTTCATAATTACACATTTTTATATATGTATGGTAGGTAGGTAGGTAGATAGGTAGGTAGGTAGGTAGGTAGGTAGGTAGGTAGGTAGGTAGGTAGGTAGATAGATAGATAGATAGATAGATAGATAGATAGATAGATACCTATAAGATAAATAACATGCCTCCGGAAACTCTATGAACTTTGATAAATGTCTATAGTTGTAGAGGGGCTCAGGCCTTTTGTTCATAGGGTCACTCACAATGAGTCGTGCTCAGCTGGAAGGCAATCAACAACAACAACAGCAATAATGTGCTTTCAAGGGTGTATATATAGCAAAGCTTTAAAGTCACATTTACCAAAATTTAAGCCCCAACTTTGACACTTTTTTTTTGACACTTTTAATTAAATGTACTAAAGCCCATTCTTTCTCTTGTTAATATTGAAAAACATAAGGAAAATTTCAAAAGCATTCAAAACAGAAAGACTGCTGTGCTCAACCTCCATATGCTTGTCACCTAGACTCAAGAATTACCAAAATATTGCCACATTTATTGCACCATCTATTTTTGTCTCTTCTTGTTTCCTGATTATAAAATAGAGATGCAGATTGTACCCCATAACTCTTCTGAGTGTAGAATGAGTTAATGTGCATAATGTGGGTGGATCTGTGCCTCTTGGTGGTGACCGTTCCACCTTATTACTTATGCAGGTGGGCAAGTATGTTGATTGAATAGTTGGAGTAGTGAGAAAGATGTCTTGTTTTTTTGGAAAATTTTATGAATAGATATCTTCTGTTTCTTATTTTAAACTACCTATCTATTGTTAGGTGCTGTCAAGTCATGTATGGCTCATAGCGACCCTACAAATAAAAGATGAATCTTGTTCTGTTCTGTGCTATACCACAGTCACTGTGTATTCATCACAATTATATAGATTAAACAGAATTTTTTTCGAGAATCTAATAATCAACATTGTTGACATCATAACAGTGTTTTCTAATTGCTTCATCTTTCTGTCAGTACTTAAATGTATCTGCTTTCTGAGTGTGCCACTTCTGTGTATGGTACATGCACTTGACTCACAGGATCAGTTTTACTTAAGAGTATTCTTTCTCCATTCTGTTTCATATTTGCTCTAAATTTATAACTTTTAACTTGTCTTTGCCATAGATTACCGAAGACTTTGGCCCTTAATTAGATAAAATTGTGGAATCATGGCCTAATTCTTTTTAGAACTTATGTTCTTAGAAAAGTAACTTTTGCAATTTGTTACAGTTCACCTAATGTTGCCAAAAAATTTCATGTTGGACATTTACGTTCTACCATCATTGGTAAGTATCTACTAGTTTCATAGAAAATATTAAACATGCCATTGGGATAATATTTGATAGAACAGTCTAGTTATTTAATGCTCAAATGACACAAAATAAATAAATAAAGACTGTGAGCCTGATACATACTAATACATGAATCAGGGGCTTAAATTGATGTAGAAGTGAACAGAATAATCTGTTTCAAAATTAAAAGATCCAGTCAAAGAACTCAGTTGAATTGGAAATTTTGCTATGATGTGTATAAACTTATGTACACATATGAAAAACTGCGAAATAAAAGTGATTTCTCCAGATTTTGTACATATTGTACTTTATATTAGAAAAAGAACTGCATCTCAACTTTATAAATATTACCGGAGCGTTCAAAAACAAATTAAAATAAGACTGTTAGAAATACTGATTACCATAGTACTTCATAGCTCTATTGCTTCGGTTTATAATATCCTTAAGATTTTCATTTATTTAAAACTTGTACAGTATACAGTAGCCTAACTTAAAAACAGAAATTAAAATTTGAAGATGTTAGAATTGCAAGAGATTTTGGAGGTTGTCTTACATAAGTAGTACTCTTGTGTCATACTTAAGAGAAAGTCATTTAAGTGGAACTTGAATACTTTTAAGGATTAGAGAAATTGGAATGTAGTAAAATTTTATTTGACCTGGGTCACCTCTTCTTTATATAGTTTCCAATTAGTATTTTAATACAGGAAAGAATAGAACTTAATTAAAAAATGTTAATGATGTTAGTCTATAAAACAGAAGGAACATGAGTAAGTAAACAATATAGAAATTAGAGAATGATGTGTCTTCTTGTTAGGTATCAGTGTGTCAGTTTTTCTCATAATGACCGAAAATAGAATTGCCTAGGGTTTCCTAGCTTAGTGACACGAAGCCAGATTGTAATGCTAAAGGAATTTGGTTCGAGGCCACAAGTTGTTCCACTGAAGGATGGGCAATCTCCTTCCCACTGATGAACTGAAAACCTGCTAGAGGGTTGGTTCCAACTCTGGTACGCGACAATAACCTTTACAGAAACAGATAATTAGGTCTGTCTCCTGTAGAGCAACTGATCAGGTTCAAGCTGCCAACCTTTCTGTTAACAGCTAAGTACCAACTATTATGCTAACAGGTTCTTAAGTACTAGGTAGTTGTCATTGGGTACCATTGAGTCCGGTATTGACACTGTGAACAACAGATCTTAACCTTGTCCTTTCCTGTGCTATCCTCATTATCTTTCACATGAGCATGTTGCCCCAAGGAGCAACCTGACTTTGCCTTCTTCAAGACATATCTATTAGTTCTTTTAGTAGTCTGTGGGATATTCAGTAATCTTCTCTCTCCAACAAAACACAAACACATCACTTGTTCTGTCGTCCTTATTCATTATCCAGCTCTCAGACGTATAGCAAGTGATACAAGCGATTGAAAAGACTTGCCTTGATTCAGTCACCTTAGTCTTCAAACCGATATCGTTGCTACTTAATATTTTGGAGAGATCACTTAACAACAGATTTACTCAATGCAGTACATCTCCTGATCTCTTCAGTGCTGGGACCAAGAGGGATGGTTGTGGATTTGAAGAAGATGAAATTATTAGCAATTTTGATACTTCTCTACCTCTCATGATGTTTCTTGCTGGTCCAGTGGTGAGAATTTTTTTTTCTTCTGACTGTTGAGATGTAGTCTGTATTGAAGTCTTTGAGCTTCTGGAGCAAGCATTTCAAGTTCTTCTCACTTTCAGCAAATAGGTTATTGATAGGTCTTCCTCTCATCCTGATTACACATCCTTCTTCACTGAGTTCAGTTTCTTGAATAATTTGCTTGGCATACAAATCAAACAGGTATGGAGAAAGGATGCAACCTTTAAACACCTTTCTTTTATTTGTATCTCTCTAAAAGCTAGGGATTTTGAGCATTTCTTCATGTATTTGTTGGCCATCTGAAGGTCTTCTTTGGCGAAGTGTCTGTTCATATCCTGTGCCCATTTTTCAACTGGGTTATTTACCTTTTTATCTTGTGTAGTGCTCAAGTATTTTATAAATTCTAGATATAAGTCCCTTATCTGATATGTCATTACCAAATATTTTTTCCCAATCTGTGGCCTTCCTTTTTACTCTGTTAGAGAAGTTTTTAGATGTGCATAGGGATTTGATTCTTAGAAGGTCCCATTCATCTGTTTTATCCTCTCCTGGCTGTAGATTTTTCAGGATGCTTGGAAGACTGTTCATGTTGTGGATTAGGACTTCTAGAGTTCTTTCAAGCTTTTCTTTAATGAAGTGTATAGTCCTTGGTTTTAGTCCTAGGTCCATGATCCATTTTGAGTTGGTTTTTGTGTATAAAGTGAGGTGTGGATCATGCTTGAGTTTTCTACACCTAGTTTTCCAATGTTGCCAGCACTGTTTCTTAAAAAAGTTGTCGTTTCCCCACTTAACTGGTTTCATCTCTTTGTAAAAAATCAATTGACCATAGGTAGATGGGCTGATTTCTGGATTTTCTATTCTATTCCATTGATCTGATCTATGTGTCATTATACCAGTACCATGCTGTCTTGACCACCACGGCAGTGTAGTAAATACATGAAGAAATGCTCAAAATCCCTAGCTCTTAGAGAAATGCAAATCCAAATAACCATGAGATATCATCTCACCCCAGTAAGAATAGCAAAATTTAACAGAGCAGCAAACAACAAATGCTGGTGAGGGTGTGGAGAAACTATAACCCTTATTCACTGTTGGTGGCAGTGTAAAATGGTGCATCCACTGTGAAAGGCTGTATGGCGCTTTCTCAAAAAGTTGCAATAAAGATACCATTTGGCCCAGCAATTCCACTACTGGGAATATATCCCAAAGAGTCCATAACTGACATTCAAGCAGATATATGCACACCCATGTTTATCACTGCTTTGTTCACAATATCAAGGAGTTGGAAACAACCCAGGTGCCCATCAACAAACAAATGGATAGAGAAGCTGTGGTATATTCACACAATAGAATACTACGCTGCATTGAAAAACAAGGAACTCATGCAATATTATTCAGAATGGGTGACACTGGAGGATATTATGCTGAGTGAAATATCTCAGTCACAAAAAGACAAATACTACATAGTGCCACTGTTGCAGGATGGGACTGACATCAGGGTTGGGGGGAGACTGAGAAAAATTGGATAAATCATATATACTGCATTGAAACAGATGTGGGAGAGAACAGTTTGACAAGAGTTCCAAATGAAAGTTGCACAGTAGAGTGTACTCGGGGAGGGGGAGGGGTGCAGGGGAATTGTATACCAATGAAGGAATTTTACTTTTCAAAGAGAAGAGCGAACTAGGGGTGGGCAGGGAGAAAAATACAACAATGAATGAATAAGGATCTTTGTTTCTTGATGTTGACATGTATTCCATATTGTATACTATAGTATTTGCTCTTCTGCAGCAAGCGTTGCCAGCCCTCTTCACTTTGAGCAAGCAGTGTTGCTTAACGCAGGTTATTGATGATTCTTCCTCCGATCCTGTTTCTGTATTTCTCTTCATAGAGTCTAGCTTCATGAATAATTTGCTCAGTATACAGATTGAATAGGTGTGGAGGACAGATACAATTCTAACACATACTCTTCCTGATTTTAAACCATGCAGTGTTTCCTTGTTCTATTTGGACAAGAGCTTCTTGATCTAGGCATTATGAGCACAAGTATGTGTTCTAAGATTCACATTCTTTCAATATAGGTTATAGTTTGTTATGATCCACGCAGTCAAATGTCTTTACATAGTCAATAAAACACAAATAGACATTCTTCTGGTACTCTTTGCTTTCAGCCAGGATCCGTCTGATGTCACATGGACAGTCCTGTCAGGTCCATCCTTTTGATCCTGGTTTATGAATGAGGAAGGTCAGGTACTGAAAGTAATTGTGTTAAAGAGCATTTAGCTTGTAAGTATTATATCAAGGATTTAAACTTAGTCAAACATTTTGTTGAGCTGTAAGATATTGTTGTTGTTAGATATCATATAATCAACTCTGACTCATGGTGGCCTTGTGTACAGCATGTCCAAACCCTGGCCTGACCTTGTGGCAGCTTCACGGCCTCTGCTGTACTTAAATCCAGTATTGTAATCACTAAATCAGTTGATCTCGTAGAGGGTCTCCCTCCCTTTCATTGAACCTCTACTTTTCTAAGAATGATATCCTTTTACAAGGACTGATCCCTCCTAATAATATTTGGAATATATCTGGGACAAACTTTCACCTTACTTGCTTCTTTTTTTAAACTTTATTCTTACTTTCAATGAAAATTTATAGAGACTTTGCATTTCCATTCATTCCTTGTTGCACTTTTCTCCATTCCCAACCTTCCCTCCCCTGCCCCCTGAGTACTGTACCCTCTTGGAAAAGTAAAAGAAAAGTTCTTTCATTGTTTTACAATCCCTCCCCCCAGGTCCACTCCACTATGCAGCCTTCATTCTGGACTCCCATCATGACAAAAATAACTAATCACATAATCCCTTTTAAACAGTTTTCTCCCTCATCTGATTCAATGCAGTATACATTATTTAACCCATCTTTCTCGGTCTCCCCCCAACCCCAAAGTCACTCCTGTTTTACAACAATGGTACCATGCAGTATTTGTCCTTTTGTGACCGAGATACTTCACTCAGCATAATGTCCTCCAGGGTCATCCGTTTTGAATAATATTGCATGAATTCCTTGTTTTTCATTGCAGTGTAGTATTCCATTGTGAATATACCACAGCTTCTCTAGCGATTCATTGGTTGGTGGGCACTTAGATTGTTTTGAACTCCTTGCTATTGTGAACAAAGCTGCGATAAACATGGGTGTGCATTATACTTGCTTCTAAGAAGCACTTAGCTTACTCTTACTCTTACTCTCACTGCAGAACAAACTTATTCTGTCTTCTGATAGTCCACAGCCTCTTAAAGATTTCTTGCCAACTCCACAATTCAAAGGCATTAATTTCTTCATAAGTCTTCATTGTCCAACTCTCTTATGTATGTGAAGCAATTGAAAACACCATGGCTTGGGTGGTGGTGGTGGTTGTTATGTGCTGTCGAGTTGCTTGTGACTCATAGCAACCTTATGTATAATAGCTCTGAACTCTACCCCATCCTCAGACAATTTTGTTGTCTCTGACACACCTGCCCTCATTACTCCAATTACAGGATCAATCCATCTCATCCAGGGTCTTCCTCTCTTGCACTGTTCTTCTACCATTCCAAGCATGATGTCCTTCTCAAAGGACTGATCCATCCTGGCCACATGCCCAAAGAATGTGAATTAAGTTTCATAATCCTTGCTTCCAAGGACAAACTCGGTTTCACAGTCTCCAGAACAGACTGTTTGTTCTCTTAGCAGTCCATGGTATGTTCATTACTCTTCTTCATACCACATCTCAAAGGCATCGACTCTTTTTCTGTCATCTTTAGTCATTGTCAGCCCTCTGATGCATAGCAATAATTATAAAGACCATGTGTAGAAACACCTTAATCTTCAAAGTGACATCTTTTTTATTTAGCACTTTAAAGAAGTCCTTGGCAACAATTTGATTCATTGACTTGTGCTTTCATGGCTGTTGATTATGAATCCAAGTGAAATTAAATCCTAAACAGCTGTGATCTTTCCCCATTGATAATGATAGTGCTTACTGGTTCCATTGTGAGGATTTTTTTCCCGATGATATTAAGGTGTTATCCATATTGAAGGCCATAGTCTTTGATTTTTATTAAATGCCTCAATGTCTCTTCGTTTTCAGCAAGTAAAGTTGTGTCATCTACATATCATAGATTGTTAATGAGCCTTCATTCGAGTTTGATGTCACAGTGCTCTTCATGTTGTAGCGTCCCAGATTATTTTTTCAGAATACATAGTACATAATTTTTCTGATTTTTAAACCATAAGATATCTCCTCGTTTCATTTGCACAACACTTCTTGGACTATGTGCAGGTACTACATAAGCACAATTAAGTGTTCTAGAATTCCCATTCTTCTCCATGTTATCCATATTTTGTTATGATCCACACAGTTGAATTCCTTTGAGTAGTCAATAAAGCACAAATAAACATCTTTTTAGTATTCTCTGCTTTTAGCCAAGATTCATCTGGTACTAGCAGTGATAGCCCTTATTCCACAGTCTCTTCTGAATGCACTTTGAAATTCTGACAGTTTCCTGTGGATAAACTGCTCCAGCCATTTTTACTTGTATATGACATTGGTGTTAGATAATGTCATCATTCTGTTGAATCACCTTTTTTTGAAATGTGGACTAATGTTGATCTCTTCTACTTAGTTGGCCAGATAGCTGTCTTCCAAATATCTTTCCATAGATAAGTAAGCAAATCTATGGCTGAGTCTATTTGCAGAAAAACCTCAGAGAGTAGTTTATCAATTCCTCCAGCCGTATTTTTGCCAATGCCTTCAGTTCAGCTTGGACTTCTTGCTTTAATACTATTAGGTCTTGATTATATGCTACCTCTTGAAATGCTTACTTGTCAACCAATTCTTTCTGGTACAGTAACTCTGTGTGTGTACTTCTTCTGTCTTTTTTTGATGTTTCCTATATCATTTAATACTTCTCCCAAAGAACCCTCAGTGTATTTCAACTCAAGGTTTCAATTTTTTTCTTCACTTTTTTTAGCTTGAGAAATGCTTTTCCTTTTTTATATTCTAACTTAAGGTCTTTGCATATTTGTTACAATACTTTGCCTTATATTCACACGTTGCAAAAGCTGTAAGATAGTAAAACTCAAAGAAAAAAATAGGAAGACGATTTGATTGCCAGGTAAAAAAGGTGTTTCATGTTGCTCAGACTATATAGATTAAAAATCTGTATGTAGGGAAGTTGAAAAATAAAGGGCCTCAAGTAAGTAGGTAAGGCAAACATGTATATTGGTCAGGCTTTAGGAAGAGTAAAATGTGTTTTGCCACAGGAGGTGTAATAGTTTACAAAGTTATGGGGAGTGCTGAGAAAGCATTGCATTAATTACACCACAGAACATGACCAGCAAGAGAGACTCTGCTCTACTCTGCATTCAAGAATCAGTCGTCTGCTCTAGGAACACTTTACCTTGTCAGTATCAGTAAGCTGCTTGTACTGCTGCCATGCTTTCTCAAGTCCATGTTCATTAAACAGGCAGCCTTGGAACCTGTCTTTCAGTTCCCTTCAAGTGTGTGACAAGATACTAGAACCTATGCTAGTGGTTCCACAAGAAAGCCAAAAGCATCTTCTAATTTTATTATAAGAAAAATACATTAAAAGCACTTCCACTTCCACCATCTAAAAGCCACACAAATTGGATCTGATTACCTGAAGTGAAATGATTTCTTAAACCCTTAACTGCAAGAAAGTGTGTGAGATGTGATTTTTACATTTCTGGCTTCAGCATGGGAAGGCTATTCAGCAGTGAAACCACCATAATCCTCAGCCTCATTGCTATCGAGTCAGAACTGACTCACAGCTGACTCTCTAGGAGCTTTTCAGAGGCCATAAGTCATGTCAGAGGAGATTGCTCATCCTTCTCCCTGACAGCCTCTGCTAGATTGAAACTACTGGAGAGGTAGAGCCTTTAGGTTATCAGTGCAACTCCATGTGGCACATGTGCTGGCAGGCAGCAGGCTTACAGAGGATGGACTTCAGTGATTAAGCAGAGATGGAATAAAGCATTTAGACCAAAAAAATCTAACACTTTGTGGTCAAGTTCTGGAAGATAGAGCCAAATTATTTATTTTGTTAAACACTGAGATTCTGTTAATTTCTGTAGTCAGAACTGGCGTGAATCAACAGTTACTCAAACTTGTTTTCCCAGCTTCCATTAATATTAATGAAAATTCTGTTCTTTTGAAAATTGGTACAGTCTTTGGTATACACCCCTTTTCCATAACACAGATGAATGTTCTAGTGGAAAAAAATGAGTTGTTCAATTATGTTCAAAAAATTTACCATATTGTGCTTTGCTAATAGAGAAACACATGTTTCTTATGCCAAAATTGGTAACAAAATGAGAAACTGTATTATCTTATTGATTACTAGGAAATTTTATAGCAAATCTCAAAGAAGCTTTAGGACATCAAGTAACAAGAATAAATTACCTTGGAGACTGGGGCATGCAATTTGGTAAGGACTTTTTTACTTTCTTTTTCTTATAAAGTTTCATTTCTTTTTCTGTAGTTAGAATCTGAAGAAAATATACTTAGTATGGCTTTGGATGAAGTAGTGCCTTTTTTCCTCAGTACATTTTTTCCATAAAGCTTATTTTTATTTCATAGAATAACTATAAAAATGTCTTTTGGGGATATAAAGTCTACAGATTGAGAGTAAGCCTTGATATATATAAATTTATGTGGTTTTATTAAGGAGTTCTGGTAGTTAGTGGTAAGGAATTGCCCAGCCAATACAGAGGTGCATGATTTGAGCCTATCAGCCACTACACGGGAGAAATAGGTGCTCCTGTGCAATTGACTGCTTCTGAAAACCTGATAGAGTGTCATCTGTGGGTTGATTCTAACTCCATGCTGCACAACAACAATATGCGTTTGTTAAAGCAAGACCTCACAGAATCAAACCCACTGCTATCAAGTCAATTTCCATCTCCCAGTAATCCTGTGGGGCAAAGTGGAGCTGCCTCTAAAGGTTTCCAAGGCTGTAAATCTTTATAGACCAGACTGACACGTCTTTTTACTGTGGAACAGTAGTAGATTTAGAACTCTAACCTTGTGGTTAAAAGTCGAGTGCATTAACCTCTGTATTACTGTTGTTGTTGTTGTTGTTATGTGCTGTCGAGTCATTTGCAACTCATAGTGACCCTATGTACAACAGACCTAAACCCTGCTCTATCCTGTGCCAATCGCATTGCCTCTGACACACCCATCCCGATTACCCTAGTCACTGAATCAATCCACTTCATAGAGGGTCTTCCCCTCCTGCGCTGTCCCTCTACTCTACCCAGCATGATGTCCCTCTCCAAAGACCTTTCTCTCCTTGCAACATGTTCAAAGTATGTCAGAAGAAGCCCCAGAATCTTTGCCTCCAAGGAGTAGCCTGGTTTAACCCTCTCTAGGGTGAATCTGTTTGTTTTCTTGGCAGTCCATGGTACATTCAATACTCTTCTCCAGCACCACAGCTCAAAGGCGTCAATTCTCCTTCTGTCCTCCCTAGTCATTGTCCAGCTCTCTGATGCATAACAAGTGATTGCAAAGACCATGGCCTGTATCGGGTGCACCTTTGTCTCCAGCGAGACATCGTTGCTCTTGAGTACTTTGGAGAGGTCCCTAACAGCAGACTTTCCCATCGCAATATGTTTTTTGATTTCCTGGCTACTGGTGCCAAGAGTGTTGACTATGGAGCCTAGCAAACTGAAGCTGTGAACAATCTCAATCTCTTCGCCATCCATCCTGATGCTACCAGTTGGTCCAGTGGTGAGAATCTTTGTCTTCTTGACATTGAGCCTCAAGGGTTCCTCATAAAGAAACATAGCTACTATTTGAGCTAAAGGTATAAGTGAGTATACAGAAGAAGGGTATAGGTACATACACCCTTCTCAAACACTAACCCACCCTTTTTAAAGCTAATGAGGTCCAGCCCCCTGAGCTATCCTACATGAGTACGAGGTCTGCTATGAGACCTGTGGGGTGGATGGCGGTAACAAAGAGAGAACAGAGTGGAATACCTTGGCTTCCCTGTTGACTGCACAGTACAAAAATTGAGAGGAAAAGAGGGGGAAGGAGTGGAGACCTTAACAGTTTTGAGTGCAGTTTTAAAAATTGTTCCTGTCTCATATGAACTGGTAATGGAAAAACTGATTTTGAAGGGCATCGAGGTAAGTGTTTTAAAGATAGTGAAGTACTGCTGGTTGTTGTTGTTGTTCTGTGCCGTGAAGTCGCTTGCGACTCATAGCAACCCTCTGTACAACAGCCCTAAACTTTGCTCTGCCCTGTGCCAATCGCACTGTCTCTGACACTCCCATCCCAATTATCCCAGTCACTGAATCAATCCACCTCATAGAGGGCCTTCCCCTCCTGCACTGTCCCCCCACCCTCCAAGCATGATATCCTTCTCCAAGGACCGGTCTCTCCTCACAACATGTCCAAAGTATGTTAGATGGAGCCTCAGAATACTTGCCTCCCAGGAGCCTCCTGGTTTAACCCTTTCCTGGATGACTCTGTTTGTTTTCCTAGCAGTCCCTGGTACTCTCAATACTCTTCTCCAGCACCACAGCTCAAAGGCATCAATTCTCCTTCTATCCTCCCTGGTCATTGTCCAACTCTCTGATGCAACAAGTGATAGCAAAGACCATGGCCTGTATCAGATGCACCTTAGTCTCCAGCGAGACATCATTGCTCTTGAGTACTTTGGAGAGGTCCCTAACAGCAGACTTTCCCATGGCAATGCACCTTTTAATTTACTGGCTACTGTTGCCAAGAGTGTTGACTGTGGAGCCAAGCAAACTAAAGCTGTCAACAATCTCAATCTCTTCATCATCCATCCTGTTGCTGCCAATTGGTCCTGTGGTTAGAATCTTTGTTGTCTTGACATTGAGCCTCAATCCGTATTGGAGGCTACAGTCCTTGACCCTCTGCAGCAGGTGCTTCAGGTCCTCCTCAGTTTCAGCAAGCAGGGTTGTGTCATCTGCATAACGCAATCTTGACCCCTCATTTCTCCTCATAGAGCCCAGCCTCTCAGATAATCTGTTTTGCATATAGGTTGAAAAGGTATTGAGACAGGACACATGCCTGGTGTACACCCTTCCCAATTTTGAACCATGCAGTGTTCCCTTGCTCTGTTCTGACGACTGCCTCCTGGTCCAAGTATAGGTTTCGCATTAGAACCAGCAAGTGTTCTGGGATTCCCATTCTTCTCAGAGTCCGCCACAGTTTGTTATGATCCACACAGTCAAACGCGTGTTTGGACTGCTGGTAGCATATGAGATACAAACTTTTAAACATCTTTAGTAATTACAATGTGAATTTTAAAGTTCAGCCCTTATTTCACTTCTGAAAAGTGTTTCTGACATACAGATAAAACCTTGCCTATCTTCTGACATCTCCAAGTTCCCCGTGCCCAGATCTAATCCAATATTCATACTAAAGCCCATTACTGTTGAGTTGATTACAACCTATAGCTGACCCTCCAGCAAGTTTCTCGGGCTTTAAATCTCAAAAGAGATTGTCCATCTTTCCCCCTCAGACCCAGAAAAGTTCAGCCTTTGGGTTTGTAGAACAACTCTTTACAAAATATGCCATCAGAGCTCCCTCTAGTCAGATAGTTGTTTTGTACCATCAAGTCAGAACTGACCCATAGCTGACTCTCCAGTGGGTTTTCAGAGGCAGATTGGTTTTAAAGCAATAAAGCTACCTTTATTTTCTTGATATCACTATGATATTGCTTAAAACTGCAGTTACAGTCATGTTTTAGCAGAATATCTAGAGAGTACAAATGATACTTTCTATACTAAGAAATATCATTGTTAGTTCAAAACCCTCAATTAGTATGTAAATTTAAAGGGGAAAAATACAATTGACATTAGTCTTAAATTCTGAGCTGATAAGCAAAGACTGAAGAAAAAAAAATAGAATTGACTAACAAAACACAAATATATGAACAAATGAAAGGAGAATTTTGTTTTTTGATTACTTTGAAAGAGAGATGTCTTCAAGGATATTTCAAGCTAAGTCAGTTTTTGCTTTCCTTTAGTCATTTGTTTTAGGAAAAATTCCTTAATACTAGACCCATTCCTAATTTTATTTTAACACTTAAAAATGTAAAAAGAACGTTTGAAGTCACTTTCCATCAATTTATTTTCACAGATTTTTAGTACCTAGTGCCTTTTTTTTATAAAGTAGCAGCTCAGTAAATGTTTTATTAATGTCTTTTGAGGAACTGTTGAGTACCATTGGTGTAAATTTAAAGTAGTCCTAGCCCTTGTCTTTAATAAACTCACAGTTTAATGGTTTCTGTGAGATTAATTTCATTGGTATATACCATATATCAGACTACACATTGTACCACAGTCTTTAAGCATGTTATCAGGAGGGACATGATGCTTGAAAAGGTAGAGGGTCAACAAAGAGAAGAACTGCAGTGAGAAGCAATTGACATGGTGACTGCAACAGTGGAGATTGTGAGGATGGTACAGATGAGGCAGCATTTTGTTCTATTGTACATGGGGTCATTATGGGTTGGAGCCTACATGGAACCTAACAGAAATATATTTAATTTTATTTGTGTCAGTTTATGGGTGCCAGAAAGAAACAGCCTGTGTTTTGGGTTCATTTTCGGTGTAAAGGATTATGAGAGATGGATTTTCTATAAAAGTCTATTTCCTGCTATGTATGTTCTTTCTGTATTTTATAATCTTTCACTTACCACATTTGGTATTTTATAATCTTTCATTTACTACATTAGGTCTTTTGGGAACTGGCTTCCAGCTGTTCGGTTATGAAGAAAAACTCCAGTCTAATCCTTTACAGCATCTTTTTGACGTAAGTTGATAATAATGCTAGAAAATACTAGAACTTCTTTTTCAGAGTACGATACAACTTGGTAACAGTGCAGTTTTTAATAATTACCACATTTTAACTCCAGATTTTTAAAAAAGTCAGTTTCTTAAGATAGAGAACTATAACTTAATTGAAAATGTTTGTTATTTTACTGGGAGTTTTCCTTTTCAAATTTAAGTGTTTCCTTTATTACTGTGTAAATTGATTTCGGACATAATTACTCCAGGAGTAAAATCTTCTTAGAATAGCATAGAGTAACTAACAGCTTCTGTATAAAGCAAAATTTCTTGTACTGTAGTTTCTTAATGGAAGTAACTATAACTCATTTGAACTTGTAAAACATGTAGGAATTCCCCCCCTCCCCTTTCTGGGGAGGAACACATGTATTTCTTTCTAAATTTATGTGCAGTTTTTTTGGTTTGTTTCTATCTGTCTGTTCCCTTTTTTGGCTTTTGCCTAACTTGAGTTCTTCATTTATTTTCATTAATTTGAACTACCTCATTTAGTGCCTTGGATATTATAATCAATGTCTTTGAGGTATGGTGTTGGAGAAGGGTACTGAATATCTCGTTGACTGCCAAAAAGAAAAGCAACTATGTTTTGGAGAGGATGTGCAGCCACGATGCTCCTTGGAGGGAGGTAGATGAAACTCTATCTCACATACTTTGGGGGCATTGCTAGTGAGGCCAGTCCTTGGAAAAGGACGTCATGATTGGAAAGGTGAAGAATAACTGAAATAGAGGAAGACCCTCAATGAGATACATTGAGTATATCAAGGATGGGGAGGATGGCCAGGGTCTTCATGTCTGCTCTTCATAGGATTACTGTCCTTACCAATAACATCCTCTGTACTTTCCTGGAATTTATTAATAAAACTCTTCTGTCCCAGTAATCTCCTGGGATGTTTCCTTTTCATTATCTCAGTTGTTAACACTGCTATTTCTTGGCCTCACAAGAGGAAACACAGATAATATCAGCCATATTGTTGGCATATCAGGGGATCAGTGTATTATATAAAGAAGAGCTTTTGCCAGAATGCTTACTTACCTTTGTCAGCCAAAGCTACTGAGAATGCTTCCGCATTTTCTGTTTTGTTTTTTAATATGTATCTTCTCTGTATCTACACTGGCTTTGTAGTTAAATTTAACAAAAGCACTTTCTAATTCTCAAGGATCATGAAAGCTTTGTTGTATCCTCCAGAGCCTATGCTTGGACTGCATTTTAAATGACAGAACTTTGATTTATCATGGTAACCAAAAGATCTTTTTTCCCTCTTGAGCTTAAAAATGAATAATTCTTTGTACTGTCTATAAATAAGACTTGCTCCCTTAGTTCCTGTAATTTATACTGTATTTTATTTTAAAACTTTGAATAATTGTTAGTTTTGAAGGTGTTTTTTTTTCAAACCACAAGTTTAGCAAACCTTCTATAAGCTCCAGGCCCACAGAGGCAGCCCTGGGAATGCAAAGTACAGATGCTCGCAATGAGAATCTTGTGTTATTGAGGGAACATTTTTTGACAGACTGTATAGCTTTATTTCTTAAAATTAATGCTTTCCTTTTTCTCCCACCCTCTCGGAAAGTTTTTATCTAATCCTATAAATATTAAATATTTTTTCCTTAATGTTTTAAATTATTTAGTAAATTACATTCTAAAATTCCAGAGAAAACTAAGTATATATTTTCTTTTACAGCTTGGTTTCCTTTTCTGTGAACCTTTTTAAACTCACATAAAAGGTGGGAGCACATATATCTGATTTAGAGGTTATTACTTGATGGGTGTGATATGGAAAGCATTGAGAAGAGTGCTGCACTGCTCCTAAGAATACCTAAAACTCAAAAGAATAGTTCGGTCATTTTCATTAGTGTTCTTTTGCTTAATAGTTTCATAAAGGATTGTGTTTGTAGACTAAAGAGGGCCAACCATATACCCCACCTTGCCATTTATAATTGATGCCGAAAGCGCAGTAAAGCTCATGCTGCTTCCTCTGCAGAGCACAAAAGGCAACACCTAGAACAAAACAGCCTCCAGATTAGCTCTGCACCTGATATTCATTTTTTCTGTAGCCTTTTCTCTTTTTCCACAGCTACTGGCTATGTTTTGTGAACTTAGGGCTTTAGTTGACTAACGTTTGAATTTTTTTCTTTTTTTCTTTTTTGTGCTGAAGACAAAATTGACAAGTCTTTATTCAAAGAGAGGTTTCTAGGTGTGTAACAAAGCCACAAGTTAATGATGTTAAAACAAAAAACCCCTCAACATCTGACCTTAAAAAAATTAATTAATTCATTAATTAAAAATAATAATAATAATAATAATAATAATAATAATAAAATTAAGGCCAAAAAGGAGGCAAGAGAAAACCATAGTGAACCAACCAGCCATCCCGAGTTGAGTATCTGTGAATTGGTGGGCCACACTGGAATGAGTGTTAAAGCAATGGAGCTGGAGGTGTTGATTTGGCCAGATGCACTGAACTTAACCAGGCACTTGAAGACAAAGAATTTGTGGGTATAACAGCCTAGCTGGACAGATGCGGTTTCAAACCTGTCCTCCAATGTGAGAGCCATCAAAGAAAAGCCTTTTTATCTGATATCCCTAAGCAATCGCCTCAGGTCCTATCTCCCCACTTCTGTTAAACCTGTAAAGAACAGTGAAGACAAGACAGTCTCTAGGTATGACAGTTTCAACCCTTTTCTCAAGCCCTTTTACAAAAGGAGAAGTAAGCATCTTAAATCTTTTTGAAGGCATATAATAGTAATCTGGACATTTCTTTCATCTTATGGCACTGATTTTGTTTCTGAACTGAAAACTCCTCCAGTTCCCCTCCCCTCAGTCATGTCCTCTCACCCCTAAATAATATTGGCATCAAATATCTCTAGGCTATGATCTCTGATGGGATTTCCAGCAGAAGAGATATTCTCCTTTGTCATCTTTGTCTCTTCACCACCAATTTTATTTTAGGATATTCACTGGAAGTTTCTTAAGGTAGCTATAGGTTTTGTCTTTTTGGATGGGGTAGTCAGTGCCATTCTTAAAACCATCAGACTCAGGAAGAGGAAAGGGAACTTCAACACCCAGTATTTGGGAAATAAGTATTGCTTGTGAAGGTGGCATTGACTGTCTTTTGTGTAACTGGCATGGCTGGGTTGGGCATGGATTCATATTCACTTCCCTTATAATGCTAACCATGAACCTGCAGTCCTTGAAATTCACCGGTTCTGCCAGGGAATTTTTGAATACTTAATCTATGAGCCTTATGATAAAACATCATTACTGTTGTGAATGGTCACAGAACTCCCTCTGACTCTTGACTCTCAACACTCTCATGGATAACAAAATAAAAGAGTCCCCAGTTGTCCCATCTCTATATGTGTATCCACTGGTATAAAAACAGAGGGAATTATGTGGAAACCTATTGTGTCACTCCCTCTTAGGTTCCCCTCATTTTTGTTGGCCCTGCTTTACCAAATGTGATGTTCTTTTCCAGCTGTTGATCTTTTTTTCTCATGATGTGCTCAGAGGAAGCAAGCTGAAGTCTCATTATCTTTCCAATCTAAGAAATATTCTGGTTGCATTTCTTTAGGATTATTTTGTTCATTCTTCTGGTAGCCCACAACATATTCAGTGTTCTTTGACAACAACAACAGAGTTCAAACATATCAATTTTTCTTTTGTGTTGCATTGTTCATCTTTCTCAAACATGTGAGGTAGTTACAAAAACTGTGGCTTCAGTCAGAACCAGGCTAGTCATTAAAGTGGCATTTTTCTTTTTTTAAACTTTAAAGAGGTCTTGTATAGACTTTTTTTAAATTTCTGTCCACTACAACATATTTATTCCCATTCCCAAAAAAAGTGACCCTACTGAGTGTGGAAATTATTGAACAATATCACTAATATCACACACTAGCAAAATCTTCTTGAAGATTATCTAGAAACAACTTGAACAGTACATTGACAGAAGATTACCAGAAATGCAGTCTGGGTTTAGAATGTCAGATGGATCTTGGCAGAAAGCAGAGAGTACCAGAAGAATGTCTATCTGTGTTTCATTGACTATGCAAAAGCATTTGACTGTGTGGATCACCATAAATTGTGGCTAACCTTGAGGAAAATGGGAATCTCAGAACACTTGATTGTGCTTATACAAAACATATACTTGAACCAAGAAGCAGTCCTCGGAACAGAGCAAGAAAACACTGCATGGTTCAAAATTAGGAAAGGAGTGTGTCCGGGATGCATCCTGTCCCTATACCTTTTCAGTCTGAATGCAGAACAGACCATTTGGGAAGCAGGATTTTATGAGGAGTGTGGGATCAGGATTGGAGAAAGACTCATTAACAGCCTATGATATGCAGATGACACAATCTTGTTTGCTGAAACTGAGGAGGACCTGAAGCACTTGCTGAAAAAGGTAGTCTTCAATATGGATTGAAGTTCAACATCAAGAAGACAAAGATTCTCACCACTGGACCAATTGGTAGCACCGTATTAGATGGAGAATAGATTGAGGTTGTTAACAATTACAGCTTGCTTGGATCCAAAATCAACACTCTTAACACCAGCAGTCAGGAACTCAAAAGATGAATTGCATTGGGAAAATCTGCTGTCATGGGCCTCTCCAGAGTGCTGAAGAGCAACAATGTCAATCTAGATCCAAAGGTGTGCCTAATCCTGGTCATGGTTTTCTCAGTTACTTGTTATGCTTCATAGACTTGGACAGTGACTAAGGATGACAGAAGAAGAATCAATGCCTTCAAGTTGCAGTGCTGGGGAAGAGTCTTGAACATACCATGGACTGCCAAGAAAACAAATAGGTCTGTCTTGGAGAGGGTGAAAGCAAGTCTCTCCTTGGAGGCTAGGATTTTGAAGCTCTGCCTCACTTACTTTGGGCATGTGGCCAGGAGAGATCGGTCCTTGGGTAAAGACATCATGCCCAGAAGGGTGGATGGACAGCGCAAGAGAAAAAGACCCCTGATGAGATG